CCGCTCTGAAAAGTGCACAAACCCTCTGGCAATTAAAAAAAAAAAAAAAACTAACATACGCAATATTTTAGAAAATTCTCAAAGGTTGCATAACCAAACCAAGACTCGGGCTATTTCTCCCTTAGGTCCTGTGCTTTTTCTGTAGAAAGTCATTCTTGGGACCAGTAGTTGGCATAATGGCTATGTTGCTGGACTCTCATGTAGTCGACCACAGTTCAGACTCTCATGAGTTGACCCAGTGGCTTAAACTCACCCCAGGCACGTGTGTGTGCTTGCCCAAGATCCCAAGAGAATGGAGGAAAAGAGACTGCGGTATGGCCATCCCCCTGGGGGATGATTTCTCGTTTTCTGTCTCTGTCTCTCTCTATCTTTCTGGTGAGCGCACACACCCTATAGCAAAAACCTCTCAAAAAAAAGAAAAGAAAGTCATCCTTGACATGAGCAATCTATCCACACGGATGTCTGCGGCCACCATAGCTAACTCTGTGCCTGCCCTAGTGCCTGTGCCTCTTCATCTCTCCAAGAAAACACTTGTGAAAGACATTTTGTAAAGCAGAAATACTAGGTAACCAAAAGACAAGTAGAAGAAAGAAAAAAAAAATTGAAAAGGAGGAATAGCTTAAACTCCTAGGCCAACTACTTCAGAGTCATCTCAGAAACTTTCAAACTTCCAGATTTAGGGATCTCATTTCTGAAAATTCTGATTCAGTGAGCCTTTTACTGAGTCTGAGAATCTGAGTTGTTGCCGAGGTCCCCCAAGTGATTCCTTTTTTTTTTTAAGATTTATTTAATTTTATTCATCATCATCATAATTATTTTTTAATGAGAGAGGAAGAGAAAGAGAGAGAGAATGCACGAGAGAAAGAGACAAAGCAAGCCACCAGATCTGGGACTAGAACCCTACTCAGCCATGTGAAAGCCCAGCACCTTAACCACCAGGCCACCTGTCAGCTCCTCCCCCCAAGTGACTCTATAAGTACAGCATCACCCAAGTGGGGTTGGCCCTTACAACATGGGTTTCACTAATTGCCTTGAAAATGTTCACTTCATATAAAACATAAATTTCTAACATCATAGACCAAGTTAGGGAAATAGACTTCAGAGTCCAGATGTCATGGCTATATGTTTGAACCTCTTCCTACTCTTAACCTAGTTGAGATCAGTGAAAATCAGTGTTTGGAATATAATGACATTTTCTCCAGTCTCTAGTAAATAAATCCCTAACCTACAGAGCTAGAAAAATATATACTATACATCATGATTTACTAATAACAAAGATAGTACCATACATACATATAAATATACACACACATATATATTTCAAAGATAGCTTCAAATATATATATATATACATATATACATATACACACAGATATATATATGTATATACACACAGATATTATATATATATGTATATACACACACACACACACATAAGTACATGTAGGTTCCAAAATATGTATTAGGTCATCGGGAAAGTCATGACCTATTTTTCTATGTTTTTCTGTGCTAAAATGCACCATAACTTTCCTGACAACCCAATAATACACATAGGTACATGTGTGCATGTAATTTTTAGTCTATTTTTTTTTCTAGTTCTCATGGTTTTGTCTTGAAGAGTTGAATCTAAGCCAGGCATAATTACAAATTTTTTTTTATTATGGAAAATTTCAAATCTATACAGAAGAAGAGTGAATAGCTTAATGCACCGCATGCACTCACCAGCTGTCTTCTATAACTGTCAGCCCATCTAGGATCACCCCATCTGTGCCAACGCTGACTCCTTCGCACTCGCTTCCCCTCCCACTGGATTATTTTGAAGCAAATCCCAGACAACATATCATTTTGTTCAAAATCTACAAATAGTTTCTTGATTGCAATGTATCCTATTTTTACACGGTAGCTCTCCTCCTTAAATATTCAATATATTGAGTAGCTAGGCATTCACTTAATATAAAGTTTTCAACTTCAGATCATAATATGAAATAATTTCTGTGATCACAGGACTAATCTTGAAACTAAATTTCCTTCTCTGATGAGGTCATTGGACAAAAGCCAAGGATGCAAATCCCTCAGGTCTTCTTAGGACAGTGAATTATTTTGACCTGGAAGTCATGATCACTCTAATAACAATAAAACAATGATAACTATAAAAATAGCTAACCTTTATCAAATGCTTCCTTTGTATTTTTTTTTTAGATTTTTGCCATAGCATATGGGCACTCTCCAAAGATAGACAGAGGCAGACAGTGAGAAGGAAAGTGAGAAATCACCCCTCATCCCAGGGGGAATGCTGTGCCACAATCCTTGCTCCTCCATTCTCCTCTTGGGGTTTTGGGCATACACACACACAAGTGCCCGGCTTAATTTTGAAGCCATCAGTCTGGGACTCAAGCCATGTTCTGCCTTGTGGGAGTCTAGGGATGTAAAATACCATGCCAACTCCTGGCCCCTCTTTTCCCTTGTATTCTAATTCTTAAATGTATTGATAAAATAATCTTTATACTCTATGAATATAAGGTACTACTATTTGCATCTGTAGTACGTGGTGAAATTAATTTTTTAACTTAGAATGTGTTCCATTATTTCTTTATTCATTTATCTATGTTGCTTTGTACTTACTAGTATTTGACTAGTTCATAGTCACAGTTCTAGTTTTTATTAGCAAACTCTCTCTGTAATATCAGCATCAACAGGTTAACAGCCAGGACTCATCAATTTAACACGGGTGGAATAGTAGCTCTGAGTTTCTGGCAGTTTCCTGGTGATTAATGGTTCAAATGCTAAGACAGATTTGGTGTAGTAGAGTTTAGAAACATTCAGAATTACAAGACACTAGACATTTATTTTACTATTTGGATTTAAGACTTTAAATTGCTTAAAATTTTAAAGACTGGTTTAAAAAGAAAACTAATTTGGACTGCTGAATGACGTGGCTCCTTAATTAAAGCCTAAAAATGGGTTACCTTTACAGAAATAACTTCAGAACTGTAGGTACCAGCAGCTAGCATAATGGCTATGTCGCTGGATTCCCATATAGTTGACCACAGTTCAAGTCCTGGACCCGGTGGCTTAAACTCATGCCGGGTGCATGTGCATGCGTGCCCATGATCCCAAGAGGAGAAAGGAGAAGGAATGAGAAAGGATAATGAATTGAGGGTTGGCGCTCCCCCCCCCCGGGGGGGGGGTGATTTCTCACTGTCTCTCTGTCTCTCTCTGTCTTTCTGGTGAACACACACACCCTATAGCAAAAACCTCTCCAAAAAAAATAAATAAATAAAAACTGTTGGGGTTGTTTGTTTGTCAAAAATGAGCTTTAGTTTTTTTGTTTTTGTTTTGTTTTTAATATGATTAACATTTCAAATGCAATTACTCCCTTGGTAGAAAAGAATGTCTAAAGTATTATCCCATTATTTAGAGTTTACCACTTTTGAAAATGAACATTGTAATTTCCCTGTCAAGTTAGTAAGACGGTGAGCCTGATTTTGAACTGCACAAAGGTACTGGGTAATGGGAAGTAGGGTAGGATTAGGGATTGAAAGCTGTGTCGAAGGCTCTCATGTCCTCATTAGCTGTGAGCTTCCAGCCAAGTCATGAGAATCCCTGAGCCTCGGTGTCCTCAGGTTTTAGTGGTTGGCTTTCTAGGCCAGTCCTACTCTCTCTTCAGCTCTTGAATTGTGTAAAGGGATCTCTAAATCTGTATGATATATCAGCCACACACTATTTCTGTGTGAATTCTACCATGATTACAGGCCTCATCTGAGAGCCACTTCAAAACTGCTTTTATTCCAAATACCGACAATCAAATGTCAGTTGATGCAGAGCCTTTTCCCCCCTAATTCTGTACACAGACAAAAATAAAGTCCATATTTATAAAGAAAATTCAAAATAAATGTATACCAAGTTTGAGCCAATAATTATTTCTAGGGTGGCTTATAAATAATTTGTCTGTTATATCAACAATGTCAGAAGGAAAGTTACAACAGTTTTCTTTGGGCATAGGGAGTAGAACTTTGCTTTCTGAAATAAGCAGTGGAATCTAAATCTGGGATTTTCACTCTGTTGAAAGAAAGCTGCAAATAAGATTTGACATTCTGGGAGTCTGAGTCTCTCTCCAAGAAGTTTTAGCAGCTTGAAAAGTGAGAAATTCCAGTCTACACTTGATAGCCCTCTCCTATGTAACTTGGACCTCTTTCCTTACCCTTCAGGTCCTGTCGTATCATGCTTCGGCAGCAGAAGAAGAAACAAGGGAACTCCAGTCTTTAGCGGTAATTCTCTTTCTTTTTAAAAATTACTAACTACAGACGTGTAATTTATACATAAATAGACTTTTCTCTGGATACCTGCTGCTACTAGCACAGGTCCCCTAGATGTTTAATCGAGTTTGGTAAATATTTAGATACACTCATAAAAGTACTAATCGACCCTGTTTTCTTACAGGGATATAAAGTCTGATAATGTAAAGCAAAAGGAAGTAGTTCATGTTGATTTTGTAATGCATTACATGATTCTGATTTTTTACCCCAGTAATTACTGTAATCTTTACTTATTTCTTAGTCCAAAATTAGTTTAGGTTTAAGTTTCTGGGGGAAATGGGGACAGATAACTACATGGTGGTTGTGTGGCTAGTTCTTTGCTGTTACACCTGCTCTGCATTCTCTAAATTGAGAGTGCTTTTAATTTCTGACCATATCATATGGCTTATGGAGTGCTGATTGAAATTGGGTTCAAATAAGGTCACTTCCCAAATTCTCATTACATTGTTAATTAATATAAGAGAAAAACACATTGATATCTAAATACAGGAGAGCCTCCCAATAGTCAGGATCACACCACAATCTTTTCTCCTGCACCTCTCCATCTTGTCAGGATCCTAGGAGCACACACACACACAGAGAGAGAGAGAGAGAGAGAGAGAGAGATCTGGTGTATTTCTTAAGCAGCCAGGGCCCTGGATCAAATCATGGCCAACCATGTGGAATCCAGCTCCCAGGTAGGGAGAAGTACAGCAGTGAGTGGGAGGCAAACGGTGCTTAACCACTGCCCTATGGGGCTGGTCAGTAATTTATGAAAACTTGAGGCATTTATGTATTTGTGACCAAGGCTGGCCTTCTAAATTTAAACTTATTTGAGATGACATAGATAAGGTCTATGTGAGATGTCACGAGAATCATGTAAGGAATGGAAAAAGGGTGAACAGATCGTTGAGGTTCTGTTTCATTGTAACCATCATGGTTTGCCAATGTGCTCAACTTTTTATTCCCTAACATCCATTTATTATATAAACTGCACAACTGTGTTGCAAAGGCCACACTGATGCCTGGAGAAGCCAAAGTGCTGATGGAGCACACTGCTATGAAGTAGGGAGGTCAGGATACTAACTCCCAACTCACTTTAAGAGCCCATGCACATAACACGGTGTTGTCTGTTATGGGCTGTTAGGAAGAGGGACATCAAACATGATTCCAATGTTTTGACCTATGTGATTCAGACAATGAGGAGTCAACAAAAGTGGAAGTAAGAAGGAAAACAAGTGGATTTGATTTACGACAAAACAAGTTTGAGATGCTGGTGGACCAATCAAGTGGTCATCTCTAACAGTCAGAAAAGGCAGGAGTGTTTCAGCTGGTGGTGTAGTGGTTAAGACAGCTGGATCTCACATGGCCAACTGCCATGGTTTGAGTCAGCAGCTTGAGAAACACTCCAGGCACATGTGGATGCATGCCCAATATCCCAAAAGAATGGAGGAGAAGGGATTATGGCATGGTGGCATGACCATCCCCCCTTAGGGTAGGTCATTTCTGTCTCTCTCTGATGAGTGCACACACCCTATAGTAGACGGGGTGGGGAGGTGGATGGAAAGGCAAGAGTACTATGATGAGGGAGGGGTGGCCTGAACTAGAGGCGAAGATGTGTTAGTTAACATCCTGTGGTCATGAAATCCTAGAAGGGGATCATTTGGGAGAGAGTGTAGAGGTATGTGAAAGACAGAACTCTCATGAATACAGGTTTAGATGAAAGGAGCAGGAAAGAAAACCAGTGAAGAAACTAGGAAAGTGGTAGTTAGAGAGGCAGGCTTAGGGTAGTGCAGTGGCTCAGAAGGCAGAAGAAAAGAGCTTCACAAAGGAAGGAGACCCCATGAGTTCTTGCAGGAAGGTTGAGAAGCACAAGGACTCAGAAGAAGCTGCTGGATTCAGTGATGAGGTGCTTTTTGAGAAAGATTTTCAGGGGAATGAAATTATAAAAGGTGAAAGTAGATGGTGAGAAAATGGAGGAAGTGCATATAGGTAATTTTTTTATTGTGTTTTATGTAAAAGAGAAAGGAAGAGGGAAAGTAGCTAAGAAAGGCATTGGCTGAATCCTGTGGAATTTTTTGTTTGTTTTGTTTGAGTTTGTGAGCAGGAGTTGCTCACATAGGAGAAACAAAATGTTCTTAACCAAGAGTAGGGGGAGGAGCAGGGTTGACTGTGAGACCAGTTGAAAAATGAAGACATAGAGACTTGGAAGTAGCCTACAATTGGGACAGAGAGTTCTTTTGCTAACACAAGAGCATAGAGCTAATAACACTTTCTGTTTACCTGGCTTGGTTTAAGTTTTTTAGGATCAGTATTATTAGCATTTTATAAAAGATAACCAGAGGTTTAAAGCATTTAGATTGTCCTTCTCAAGACCTCGTAGGTCAGAAGGAATGGTGCCAGTACTACATCCAGGCAGCCTGGACCCAGAGCCCATGCTCCATGTCCCAGCATTGAAACAACGCTCACTTGGAAGGAAGTGGAGTGAAGACGGGTAGACACTCGGTTGAATCAACAAGTGGAAACAAAGTCGTTTGTCAAGAACAGTTTGAAGTGCTTCAGATGGTTGTATCTGAAAGGTTAAAAAGCTCTTGTTTTGAGGCTAGTCTCGTGGAATTGGCTGTATTTATTTTGTGTGTTCATGATAGTAGTTGAGGTAAGGAGCAGTTTCTCAATCACAAAGGTTGATAGGTTTAAAGTATTATTCCCTTCAGGTTTAATTGGCCCGTTCGTCTATCCATTTTAAAATGATGCAGTTTTCAAGTAAATTTGTGCTGTGAGTTGGAAATGATCATGGGAAGGTGCCTTTTGAAATGCTTGCAAACAATGAAAGGGTATACACTTAGTTCTCAAATGAAGGCATGATTACAGTCTGCCATGTGTTGTCTTAGATAAATAAAAAACTAGCAAATAGAGTAATTTCTAACAAGAATGCTAAAAAAAATCACTAGGGTACTAAACTTTGTTTTTCTCTTCAATAATAGTACAGCCTTTTAGAAAAATCTGAAGATTATTTTCTCAAGTATGTTTACAATTTTAGCAAGAGGAAAAACACTTCGGAATAACTGAAAATTGCTATTTTGCAGTATTGTTCAAAACCATCTGTTGTTCTATTTGGAAAATAGATTTCTGCCAGCTGCATTGAGAAATTTAGGGCTCTGTAGCTTCTAGGTCAAGTACTTCATTTAAATGGGTTGAAATTCAGCAAGTGATTTCAGTGCAAGTTTTCCATCAACGGAGCAAAAATTCCTTTACAGCTCCAGCTACACAGGTGTCTGTATCATCTGGCAATTACCAAAATTGCTGTGTTTGTCATGTGTCTATCTCATGGTTTTCCTCAATTTTTAAAACCTAAAATAAACTGGAAAGCTGTCAAATGTTTTCTTAACTCTTATATTTTAAATTTATTCTTAAATAAGTTAAAAAACATACTTAAACATACTAGATAATTATGCCAGTGTCCAAAAAGTTCTGTAATTATGGCACAGTAATTAGTTGATAGGACATTCAGCATTCTTTCTTTCCCTCTTGCTTTCCTTGAGTTTTTTATTCTAACCTTTTCTTGGCCTAAAATGTGGTATAGGAGAAATAGATCCTTTAGTTAAGCATTTTGCTATAAACCTTTTAATGATCCTTAGTCAACAAGCGGTTGAGATAATAAAAGAAACCCGGCTTACCTGGTTATGATTATTAGAAAATTAATTTAGATATCAGAATCCAATACAAGTTTGTTATCTAAATAAGCAGAAAGTGAATATTCAAGTGATTGACTTTTCTGCCTTCCTGCCTTACTAGAAGAGCAGTAAAAAATATATATTAGAATAGATAAGCTTCTCAATTTTGTCATGGAGTCAGTGCTGGTTCAGTTCTATTTGTATAGCCCTATTTTAGTTTTTAGTGTACTTTCTTTTACAATTTTGTAAAAGGTTTTCTCTTACAAAACTTGCTGCTAGGGAGAGAGAGAGAGAGACAGAGAGAAAGGCAGAGACAGTGAGATGGAAAGCTAGAATTTCCCCCAGGGAGTATGGCCTCACTGCAATCCCTCCTCCTCCTCCATTCTCGTTCTGGGATCTTGGAAACACATGCACACATGCCCAGTGTGATTTTCAAGCCACCCTGCCTGGGACTTGAACAGCCATTGGTCATGTGGGAGTCCAACAACTTAACCACTACACCATCTGCTGGTCCCAAAAGCACTTTTTTTTAATCACAGAAATGGAGAGCTTTTGTGATCCTGAAGGATTTCTGGACCAAAATAGCAAGGGGTGGGGGGAAAGCTGACTGCTTAGGCAGTCAGTGACAGAATTCGTCACCTCTTAACCTTAACCTTTCAGAGCTAGAACCTTCCATGGACCCAGTGCTGATGAGGCCTGAGCATGATTACTACAAGTAACAGCAAGAAGGGACTTGACCTCAGGCCCTGCTGTCCAAGTCAGGGTTAGGAAACAGATGGATTCTCATGTCACGATGATCACCAGTTTCCTTCACTTTTAGGAAAACCTATTAGAGTGGCTAAATGATACATGGGGAAAAAATGTGAGCAGATAACAAAGATTTGGTGCTGTGATCTTGTTAAAGACGTCACTGAACTTTGGTATTCAGCGTTCGGGGTGCCTTACTTCCTCTACAACACTGGAAATTCTCGGAAACAATCTTTCTAAGTACCATCAATTGGTACATTATCTCTACAGAAGGAAATAGCATAGACTGGGCTCCATGTTTTTCACTCTGGCAAGATGTTTTAAATGCTTCATTTGATTCTTTCTGCTTTCATTTGACCAGTTAATCTTTCCTGTTTTCTTCTTTTTTTTTTTCTCCAATGGGTTACCCAAATGGTAATCTTTTTTTTTAACTATTTATTTTATTATTTTAATGATAACTATTTATTTTATTATTTTAATGATAACTATTTATTTTATTATTTTAATTTGACCAGAGAGAGACAAAGTGAGAGAGAGTAGGAAAGTGAGAAA